GGTTTTTGTACTCAGTATCGGCAAGTACTCAGATCCAAGTATCGGTATCGTATCGGTTTGAAAAAATTGGTATCGTTGCATCCCTAATAATTTCTATTTCTAATCTAAGAGATACACTGAATTAATTGGGTAAATAAGAAGGAGGATTTTATGTTGATGCAAAGATTTGTACAATAGTAAGAAAGCAGAACAAAATGGATGTAAAAGCAGTGTTATGTTTACATAAAAATACAATACACAAGTATTTTGTCACTAAAATCAATAAGAATACTTGTCTGTGAAGGTTCTCAGTCATCCAGGTCATCGTAGTCAAAGGAGCTTGCAAAGAAAAGCGTCTGGACTTCTTTAAGTTACTTGAATACTTGAATAGAAAAATACTGATCTCAAAATTCTGGATTATCATGACTATAATTATGTAGCCCTAAAAAAATACAATAACATACAAATAAATACAATGCAATACAACGAAGATATTCCATGAACTTAAAACTTTAACTTTGCAAGAATTGTTGAAAACTGAAAGGTTTAAGTTCAAAAATATTTTCTGAGATTATAAAGTTACATTGGCATTTTGTGCATCTGCAACGGATTATTCAAACAAATTATAGTCTACTTGACACAATATGTAAATACCTACGACTAAAGTCTATAATAGACATTAAAGAAACACTGACATAAACTGGGTCTAGTCAAAAAAGAGCCAAAAAACCCTAAAACAACAAAACACTAATTTAAACTGATTTAAAGAAACAGGAACTGAAACACAACAAGCAGATATAGCCTGACACATAGCTGGTTACATTCTCTTTACTGAATCCATGGATATCGGTCATAATATATGATTAAAAGACTCCAGGGTTGTTGTCTCTGCAAGCTCCATGAGTCTTTGTCTTTTTCCCATTTGTAGCTTTTGCTTATATCAACTAAGAATTACAAACTTGAACATACTCATACTGGATCATTAAAACGCAATATTTGCCTTGCTGACCTTTTTGTCAATAAACACCACGAGAATACCTAAACCTACACTCTACTGTACAGCTGGGTGATACACAGATAAAAATAATTATCATGCGAAAACCTTCCTATGTAAGTATACCAAACATAATCAAAGTCAACAGAGATCATTCCAGCCACACTTTGACAGACAACACAAAAGGCCAATGACAATGAGAATAGTGCTGCCCATAACAAATAATATGATTGGAATAGTTAACGTCATGTCAACTTAAGTTGGCACACACAACGCAGAACGTAGGAGGAGGAGCCAGGAGCATCACGGGAGCTAATGTTTGGGCTGCTACACACCAGTAAATTAGGAATGCCGACGAGATAAAAGACAAGATGACATCTGAAAATATTAACAAAAACTTGAGTGACAGCGTTACCGAACATGACACCCCAACGGACACGGCTTCGAGGCTCAAACGCAAGGACGGTGTTGAAAAGAAGGATTCGAGGAATTTGGGAGTATGGAGGTATTTTGGATATTTAAAGTATGGCAAAGAAACACAGCAGCATGCAGACAAATGCAGGTAACACCACAACATTATCTCAGTAGCCACAGTCAGACATGTCAGACTTAAGCAGCTAAATAAAGAGACTGACCCTGACTACAAACGTGGCCGTAAACATTTCTCGCTTTTCTAGCTACATCCAAGCAACTGTGTTTGCCACATCAGACTGATGTTGGCATGACTTGCACACCAAATCATACATAAGCCTCACTGCTCACTTCATTGAGACTGTACAACACTTCCCTTGGACCATAAGCGATCACAATTGAGTGAATGTGTCCATTTTATTTCTGTTCTCGTTAGTACAAATTCAAGAAATGTTTTCAAATGTGAACGAAGGATCATCAGTTCTAAACAGTTTATTTCTATACATAATTATCTACTTTATTTCTTTGGAACTGATCAAAATATTTCAGTTTCTTTGTGTTTTTCTGTACAGTGGTCCCTCGCTTCACCTTTCGTGGCCTCGCAGTTTTGCGGATTTTCTTTTATATTTTTTGGAGCAATTTTACATGCTATTTTTTGACAGCGCATTGTGTTTTGCGTCCTGATTGCCTGTAGACTAGGGCTGGGCGATATGGCCTAAAATTCATATCG